TTGGGTGCTCTGGTTTGCAAAAGCGGCATTGAGTGGCAATCATGTTCGGTCTAAAGTCTACTTTCAGCATGCGTCTCCCATCCTGGGAGGATCCTCCCAACACCCTTTATTTGGTATTCCCCTCTCTATCTGAGCTGCATTTTCCCCTAGAATGTGCGGTTGGCCTGCAAGCCATGGAATAAACCTCTTGGTACTTATCTCGGCTATTCTTGGGTGTTAGACTCCTATTTTGTTACTTTATGTTCCCCAGATGAATGCAATCTTTGTATGTCTATCCCTCTCTTTCTGACTTATTTCGCTTAGCATGATACTTTCCATGTAGATAGCACAGCGGTAGGGCGTTTGCCTTGCACTCAGCCAGCATGGCCAATTCAAGTTCGATTCCTCTGCCCCTCTTGGAGAGCCCGGCAAGCTACCAAGAGTATCTCGCCCGCACGGCAGAGCCTGGCAAGCTCCCCGTGACGTATTCGATATGCCAGACACAGTAACAACAAAGTCTTCAATGGAGACGTTACTGGGCCCGCTCGAGCAAATCGATGATCAACGGGAGGGCCTTTACTTTACTTTACTTTTACCACTTGTATGTAAATTTCATGACTTCATCTTTTCTAACAGCTACATAGTACTCCATTGTGTAGATGTACCAAAGTTTCTTTAACCAGTCATCTGTTCTCTGGCACTCAGGTATTTTCCAGTTTCTGGCTATTGTAAAGAGTGCTGCAATGAACAAACAATTCCAGATGTCACTTCGACTATACTTTTTTGCTTCTCTGGGACATATTCCCAAGGAGTGGTATTGCTGGGTCAAATGGGAGCTCAATTTCTAATTTTTTGAGAATCATCCATACTGTTTTCCAAAAGGGCTGAACCAGTCGGCATTCCCACCAGCAGTGAAGGAGGGTCCCTTTCTCGCCACATCTACGCCAGTTCCAGTTGCTTTTGTTCTTTTGGATGTGGGCCAATCTCTATGGTGTGAGATGATATGTCATTGTTGTTTTGATCTGCATCTCCCTGATGAGTAATGATATAGAGCATTTTCTCATGTGCCTTTTTGCCATTCAGATTTCTTCTTTGGGAAAGTTTCTGTTCATTTCATCGCCCCATTTTTTGATGGAGTTGGATGTTTTCTTCTTGTGGAGTTCAACCAGTACCTTGTATATCCTTGATATCAACCCCTTGTCAGATGTGTATTTGGTGAATATTCTTTCCCATTCCGTTGTAGACTGTCTTTGGGAGGAATCAACCTCCCTAACTTCAAACTCTACTACAAAGCAGTAATAATTAGAACAGCATGGTACTGGAACAAAGGCAGAGCTGCAAACCAATGGAACAGGGCTGAATATGCTGAAATCTCCTCTCAAACATATGATCATCTAATCTTTGATAAAGGAGCAAGAAATGTGAAATGGCGTAAGGAAAGCCTCTTTAATAAATTGTGTTGGCATCACTGGACGGCTACATGCAAAAAAATAGGCTCAGAACTCTGCCTAACACCATGTACAAAAATAAGATCAAAATGGATTAAATACCTCAACATCAGACCAGAAACCATAAGGTACATTGAAGACAAAGTTGGCAAAACCCTCCATGACATTGAAGCTAATGGTATCTTCAAAGATGTCACGCCATTGGCCAAGCAAGTGAAAACAGAGATAGACAAATGGGATTATCTTAAACTAAGAATCTTCTGCACCTCAAAAGAAACAATGACCAAAATACAGAGACAGTCTACAGAATGGGAATGAACTCAGTTTTCAACCCATTATTGTCCCATTTGGCAGAATAGCCATCCAAGAAAAAGCTGGCAGGTGAACATGGAGGACAGACCCTTTGCCTCTTCATCATTGTTACTTTGCTGGAGACACAGACCTGTTACTTGCTTCATTTATTCATTCGTTCCTCCATTTGATCATTTATTCATTCATTCATTCCTCCATTTGCTCATTCATTCATCTAGTGAACCATTCATGCCTCCATTTCTTTCCCCATCCATCCTCCTACTCACTCATCTACCCATCCACTAATCTATCATTTTATCCATCCATCCATCTATCATTCATTTCTGAAATAGTTATCATGTGGCAAATATGGCAGCCTAGTTTCTCTTCAGTATGGAATAAGGTCGGACCTTCTTGGAGACCACTGACCATGGCATGCTCTTTTTATTTTCATTTGCCAGGATATTCTATTGAAGTGCTAAAAGAAAAATCTCAGATTTTCTACTTATTTTCTTGTGTTTTTAAAATTGTCTAGTTTGTTTTTACAAATGAACACAGTGTGTTGATACTGTACTATGTATATAATTTTAAGTTGCATGTTCTAAGATGGTGTAGACCAATCTTATGAAACACTGAATCTTGGAATAGACAGTTGGAATGTCCTAGCAGTTGGAATGATCAGCACAAAGATGGCCCAATTGCACAGCACTGGGAAGCTAGAAAATCTATCTGCAAGTGAGATGAGAACTAATGTGATTTTTTCACTTTGATTTTTCTGCTGCTATTCAGGCCAATAGTGACTACAGAGTCAGGAGCAGAGGCAAGCCCTGACCCATCCTAGCTACTGTTCCACAGTCACTGCACCCCCATTTGGAGTTTGCTTGGGCTCCAGGGAAACACAACAGATCTTTAAGGAATCTCACTCCCTGAAGTGCATGCATCTTGATTTCATTGCACACTGGTGAAAGTCAAGGTTTTCAGTGTTTTGCACACTTATTTTAAAAGAGTATTGATCTATTACATTAATGTATTTTTTAATATCATACCTAACATTTCTCTCATATTTTAAAATGTGGATTTTTAATTCTTATTTTAAAGGAATTTTGTCACTGTCACTGTCCTCCCATTGTTCATCGATTTGCTCAAGCGGACCCAGTAACGTCTCCATTGGAGACTTCGTTGTTACTGTGTTTGGCATATCGAATACATCACGGGTAGCTTGCCAGGCTCTGCCGTGCGGGCGAGATACTCTCGGTAGCTTGCTGGGCTCTCCGAGAGGGGCGAAGGAATCGAACTCGGGTCAGCCATGTTGGCCGCATGCAAGGCAAATGCCCTACCACTATAATAACATATATAATATGAAGCAATACACTAACAACTGAAATGTAGTGATTGCTCTATCATGAGCCCAAACACACAAAGTTTCTTGCAGAACCTAAACATTTCACAGAAGCACTCAGTTCTTTGATGGCAAGGCTTATACATTTAAAATGTTAAAATCCAGGAAGAGAAAATTATACAAAACAGGAAAGACAACATATGCTCTAATTTAGTATTCATCATAAGCCGTGTGAGAAAGCTTCTCAAATAGCAATTCTGCAACCTCAAATCTTTGCTCAACAGCAAACTTAGAGCATCAACAGACAATAGAAAACTTCGTATTTTTCTTTTTTCTTTTGCTATGTATTTATTTATTTATTTATTTTGCCTCTATAGAATGGGTTAATACATAGGGACTCTCTAGCGAAGGAAAGTTCTAAGACACAAGTAAACCAAAAGTATAAGGCAAAGAAATAAATATTCTGGCCTGTTTTGACAAAAGAAGCTGTCAAAAAGTTAGCATAAACTTAATTTGAGGAACCTATTCTTTAATATGTAAGAAAGAGTTCTTATTCATTGAATAAATGGTTTTAATAACTTTCAAGTAGAATGTACTCAGAACAGCTGTGTCTTGCTTTTTACTGAACAATAATAAACTTACTCTTCAGACAAATTCTAACAACTTATTCAGCTTACATTCAAAGGCCCTCCCACACACTCATTCACAACTTTATAAGCAAGTTTTGAGAATAAAAATGTAAATAAACAGTGAAATGATTCTTAAATAATTCTTCACTACAAATAAAACACATTTGCAAATATTTCCTAACAAACTAGTCCAATAGGCCTACTTTGTGCTGATGCCTCCACATATACTCCTAATCCTACTTATCAACCAAGTTTAAAAAGGATAATGAAATATACACTAGAGCTAACATTTCCTGATGAAAATGAACCCTTTCCCAAACCTCCTAAAATAGCATGTAGTAATTTAAATTTAAAACTCAACTAAGTCACTGGACTTACATCTAAATAAATTCCCTTTAGCTTACTTTTGACATTTTACAAATTTACAATGGCTAAACTTTTCTAGGATTTTCTTATGCTTTGATTATTAATATTAACAATAAATTTAGCATGCCATGGAATATTTAAACCTCATATTGTTATACCTTTATTCAAACACCATTAAACTCCTTTCTCAAGAGGATGATTCATACGAACATAATTTTTTAAAAAAATATATAAATATTTTCCCTCAGACCACCCTCAATGGTTAAAGTACTTCCTGTTTCTCTTTGAGATGGCATTCTTTGAGATCATTTGTGAAAGCGTACATTTGTTTCTTCTCCAGAACTTTCCTGCAAAACTGGGTAACCCAGGAAATCCACGAGCACCCCTTTTGAAATGTGTCACATTTAGAGTTGCTATCCCACAGATTCAAATAGCTAACTTTCTTTAGGGATCATTTAGTTTTGATTTTTCCTAAAGTAAAAAAGTAACACACACACACACACAATTACATCTCACTGAGACTACCATGAGAAAGACCTAAGTATTAGAATCCCCTCCCTCCTTCCCATTTTTTCTTGCTCTCACTCATCTTCCATTGTGGCTGCCAACCTCAACTTCTGAGTCTCAGAGCCAGAAGCTCACTGGGGTCTCCAGATTGGGCTAGCTTTCTCTTTGGCTGACCTGTTTCCATGTGAAGATCTTTTAAACTGTATTTTTACTTTTTCAGTATTATCAAAAATACATTTTAAACAAGTCTACATACATTCAAAGAACTAATAAACATCTACCTAAAAGTGTCCAGTCCTAAGCATCTTATGGATTGTTAGTAGCCTTCTTTTTTTCTGGGCCCACCCTAAGTGATACTGGATCTCCAAAAAGTACAAGTCCATATGCTCTCATCTAAGCTGCTCCTAAAGTATTGACTGTGTGTTGAATAAGTGTCTTCTCTTATAAGTCCCATCCAAGATCAGCGTGGATTTAACCATTTCATCACAGGAGACCTGGCAGCATTCTCTTTCACAAGCTCTTCTCTCACAGCATGGCCATCTCCAGATGCCATCTCATGCTCTGAAAATAGAAGGAATACAAATCATGTCCAAATGCTTGTAACTCAAAGATCCATAGAATTTTGTCTTGTTTTTGTGCTATCATAGAATTTATTCTGAAATCTCTCATAAAGTCAGAGAGTCTAAGCTAATACTATTCACAAATTGCTATTAATTAGTGCCTTCTGCCTAAGATTACACCCCCTGAATCTTTTCTTTTCAAGAATTATCTATTATCATACCGAACATTAACCTAACATACATTTATCCTTTTCACCCTCTGCATTGTATCACTAGAATATCAGCTCTGAAAGAGAAGAGACTACGTTTTGTACATCATTACATTAGTACCTAGGATATAGTAGGCACTTGATAAAAATTGTGGAATGAGCCATGCTTCAAGAATAAATCGGTAAGTTAGTTATTTTATGATCTAGTATGGAAGAGACATTAATTTATTGGCATGACTCTGGAAGACAGAGGTAAGACCAAAGGACAGACTCTCAAATGGTTCTTGCTTACATAAGAAAAAAGTTAATAATATTTAGAACCTTCTCAAATAAAATGCTCTGCTTCTAGGAGTAGGAGGTGTGTTTGCCTCATCAGTGCATGTCCTGTAATGGAATGCTGTTTGATTAGTGTGCCTGGCAGATGAAAGCAGGTAAATTCATGAAACATTCTGTATTTTATTAAAGCCCCTCCCATCCCACTACCAATGTTGCCTGTCAATTCTCAGTCCTGGAAAATTGGAAAGTTCACTACTAAAAGAAAAAATGTACAAAGGAAACCCACATGACAGTACAGAAAGTTCCAGAATACCTAATATAATCTTATTATGGAAATGAGACACCCAAAAGTCCCTGTATTAAAGAGAGTGTGAGTTATTTAATTGGTTTTCAAAGGCTGAGCTCAGTTTGTGCAGATATGATGTGAAGCCCATAGCAGGACTGAAGTCCCAGGTCCTTCCTATAAAATTGTGTATCCTGAACCCCAGAAAACCCTAGATTGACAATTCTTATCCAAACAGAGGTGCTCCTAAGACAGGCTCTCAATGAGACTTTTAGGATATTCCCCTTTTATCTTAAAAATGATTAAAGTTCGTAAATATTAAATCAGGAACTATCTTCTACTGCACTTTAGATCCACAAAATATCATCTCGTCAAAAATGTTTTCCCATAAATTTTTATAAAAATCTCAACACCTAACTTTAGTATAAAAAATTTGAATAAACTATCATGTAACTTCCTTGCAATCAAATATCTATTTATGAGGCATATGTATAGTAATCAGATATCTGCAGAATCTTCAAGCTAAGGTGGGTGACAAAATGGAAAGGAGGACAGTATGACAGTCATGAGGATGACGGGATGCACCCCTTTGAGCGTAGTGAGAGGACCCGAGGCAAGACAGCAAGAAGAGTCTCATTGAGGATTATCCCAAAGGAATTTACACAGTGTCCCAGGCAACACTCTTTAAATACCAACAAAGATTCACAAGCGATTCAATTTTTGCTATATAAGAAAGTTTACTGTGTTTGGCATATCAAATACTCTCGGTAGCTTGCTGGGGCTGGAGCGATAGCACAGCGGTAGGGTGTTTGCCTTACAAGCGGCCAACATGGCCGACCCGAGTTCGATTCCTCCGCCCCTCTCGGAGAGCCCGGCAAGCTACCGAGAGTATTCGATATGCCAGACACAGTAACAACAAAGTCTCCAATGGAGACTTACTGGGCCCACTCGAGCAAGAAAGTTTAGTTACTATATAGAAAGTTTAGTTGCAACCTGAAGTGTACACTATTCCTTCAAAACCTCTTATAGTCTCTGATTTTAGAAAGTGAAATAAAAATCAGTGCAAATACTTGAGGCAGTTAACTGTCCTTAGACAGTAAATTTTGAGCCTGTATTCAGAGCAATCAAATAATTCTGAATATTTTTATGCCTGAAAATAGGTCAGTAGTTTCCAGGGGATGGGGCAATACTAGGAAGTGTTTAATGAGTGCTTCGGTTTTAATCTGGAACTGATGAAAACATCCTAGAACTAGCTAAAGAATTTGGCTATGTAACATTATGAGTGAATCACTGTGAATGTAGGAAATTCCATTGAATTTATCACTTTAGTATTGTTAATTTTCACCCATTCAGGGGCCACACATAGCTGTGCTCAGGCACTACTCCCAGCACTGTGCTCAAGGGACCATGTGGAGACAGGGATGAAACTTGGGCCTCCTGCATGGGCAGTCTGCACTCAGTTCACTGATATATTGCCCTGGCCCCTAAAATAGTTACTTTATGTTGTATAAATTTTACCTCAATAAATAAAAAGTTTCAGAACTTAAAATTCAATTTTCTTCCATTTTACTTTACAAGGACTACTTAGAGACAAAACATAACAATCTAAAATTTCAATAATGATTTTAATGTACAGTTAAAATATTAACATGCTTTATATGTTTTAGATAGTTTTATTTTAAATTGATGGACATAGTTACACTTTTAAAATTGATAATTCATTTTATTTATTTATTTATTTATTTTGCAAAAAATAAACATGTATTTATTTTATTTTATTTATTTATTTTTTAAATTTTTATTAGTGAGACATCATGAGGTACAGTTGTAGACTTACAAGTTTTTGTGCTTGGGTTCCAATTATACAATGATCAAATACCCATCCCTCCACCAATGCCCATTTCCCACCACCACGGATCCCAGTATCCCTCCCACCCCCCATCCCCCCATCCCACCCTGCCTCTGTGGCATGACATTCCCTTTTGTTCTCTCTCTCTTATTGGGTGTAGTGGTTTGCAAAAGAGGCAATGGGTGACAATCATGTTTGGTCTATAGTCTACTCTCAGCATGCTTCTCCCATCCTGGGAGGATCCTCCCAACACCTTTAGTTGGTGTTCCCTTCTCTATCTGAGCTCCCTTTTCCCCTAGCATTCTTGGGTGTTAGTCTCCTATTTTGTTACTTTATGTTCCCCAGATGAATGCAATCTTTCTATGTCTATCCCTTTCTTTCTGAGTCATTTCGCTTAACATGATACTTTCCATGTAGTACCACTTGTATGTAAATTTCATGACTTCTTCTTTTCTAACAGCTATATTTTTTATTTTTTTAAAGCTCGAGTCTCCTCTCCTAAGTGTGCTGCATCTTACTGGGTTTTAATTATTTTTTATTCTTTTTATTTATTTTTGGGTCACACCCAACAATGCTCAGGGACTGCTGCTAGCTCTGCACTCAGGAATTACTACTGGTAGTCCTTGGGGGACATATGAGATTCCTGTGATCAAACCCGGGTTGGCCTCATGCAAAGCAAAATGCCCTACCTGCTATACTATCACTCCTGTGCCTGATAACTCATTTTAAAATATAGTATTTTCCCTTTATCTTTATCAACTTAATTATACCCACATGTAAGGAGGTAAAGGTGGAAAATAGGTACATCTGGAAAATATTTCAGATCTCAATTTGAAATGCAAAGGACCAGAGATAAAACTAAATAAAATGGACCTGCACTATCAACTATTTATATCAAGGACAGATATTAATTGACTTTTTTCAACAAGATAGCCAAATATGAACAAAGCAGCACTGCAGAGACTATATCATTCTCACATTCTAAACTGTGTAAGAAATATACATACAATGACAAGCAGCATGCATGTACTACTAATTGTCAGGTTTTAATCATAGATACTGCCTCCCATCCTCTCTAACATCTATAAAAATTTATGCTTGGAATTATTTCTATAAATGCTTGCATTTGTCGTCTTTCTTTGAGGGAGAGAGAAAATATTTTATATTTTATATCTTGGGTCTAAAATTCAACCCAATGAATTCCTCAGAATATGTTTTCTATGTGAGTTAGGAGAAAAACACATATATAAAAGAGACCACTGAAGAATTTAAAGAATACAGTATATCTTAGTTGGCATTTTTGTAACATGTCTTTTGGTACTCAATAGCACTTATTCTTTATATAAACCAAATAAGCTTTATGAGAAATTTTAAAATCCTCCAAATTATTTAAAAATTTTGTTTGCCTGGTGCCAAACCCAGTGATGCTCAGTGCTTACTCCTGGCTCTTCTCTTAAGTATCACTCCTGTCAGCACTCAGGAAACCATATGGGATGCCCAACATCAAACCCAGATCAGCCCTGTGCATCATACTATCACTCAGCCCTGTTCATCATACTGTCACTCTGGCCCTAAAAAGTTAGTTTTAATAAGTAAACACCAACTGTAATTAAACTCACCAACCACCCACCTTTCTCCTCTGAAAGAAATAAAGGAAATATAAGGATTCTTAACAGTCTCTTTTACTCCTGGGGAGTTTTTAAGTTATCTAAACGGGAAAGGAGAATTCTGGTTACAAGTTCCAACCAGAAGCAGTTCTTACCTGAGTGAGAAACAAATGTCCTTTTTTTAGACTTGACTGATGGAGTCTGGTAGAAGGAAAACTGTAGGCATCTGCCAGTGGCCCTGTCACAGAGGCCTGACTGACAGTTGCAAGTTTCTCTGCATTCCATCCCAAAGGTGCCATAGGGGCAGTCTGTGGGCAAAACAGGGGTGGGGGGATGGGGCTGGTTAGAGCAGTTAGTTGTGCTGGAGCCTCCAGCCTCTCAGCCTCTGTATGCTCAAAACTCCAACGTTCTGACTTTAGGCTAAATCCCAATTCTCCAAAATACTGGCTTTGGAAATTGAAACTCTTATTCAAAAAAGTGAAATCACACAGAAAACCAGATAACAGATGCTTCAGTTGTAGTGTCCTGCCATCAAACTAAATTAAGGACAGCCACAGGTTACCAGTATCTTTGATCCATTCTGTCTATCTTCCTTCTGTCTATATCTGCTTAAGTACCAACACATTTCCATAGGTGACCTCTGGCCCAGTTCAAATTTCAGCTTTAATTGCAAATGAAATTAAAAGTCCATTGAATTTTAAGATCTTCTTTTAAAGGCTAACATCTTTAAGTCACTCGATTTACAGTGTATTTACAAGTAATTGTTTTTCATGCTTTAGAATGAACTAGAGGTGAAGAGGGCTAGATGCGTTCTCATCCAGCCTTCCATAAAGGAACCAATTTTTAGCCTCCTCAACTTTTATCAACAATCTTATTTGGAAAGATGGCAGTACAGTTTATCTAAACCCTAGAGCTTAAAAGTATTCACTAGTAAAACCCTCTACAAAGACAAAATACAATGTGAAGAAGAAGGGGGAGGTTTTTATTTATGCACCCACCAAAATCTGGAAGCTTATAGAAGTTCAATATTTTTTTCTTAGACTAAAACGTACTACACTGAGAAAAAGGACAAACTTATTTATTAAAAATGAATTGCTTTTATGCTGTTTTAAAGCCAAGACAAAGAGATGCAACGTATTTATACCCTTGGTATGAGATTATCCTTGTGATGTACAATTCCTACAGATACTGAAACAGATGGTGAGGCTTCTGAGTCTTTAAAATTTCATATTCCACGAAATGATCAAGTTTGGTATTAATTGAATATTGGTCTAAAAGAGACTTAGATTTGCTCCTCTTGACATGCTTGGGTTACAGAGGAGCCTGGTTTTAAGCACTGGCTTCTCTTCTAAGAAAACATCCTTAAAAGGGATCCTGGAAAAAAGTCTGCAGCAGAAAAGCACAGGACCAGGATTAGTGTGTGTCTCCTTTGATACTATGAACTAAAACTTGAGCCAAATTCTCAGTTATAATTCTATTGTATCTCCCCCAGGATTGAATTGTGCTGGGAAGATATAGGGGGTGTTAAATAAATATTTGTTGCTCCACTGATTGTTATCTGTGCCACACAATGCCGAACATCTGAATATTTAGAAAACAGTGGGATATGAAGCTGAAGTACAGTTTTCATGTGAGGGGTCTACAAAAAGTTGGAGGAGAGAGTTCGCCTCTAGCAAAATATGATATCTCCAGCTAGAGTTCCCCATGCTCATCGTGCTTCATTTCAAGCAGAGAGGAGGCAATGTTGAAAGTAGACTTGCTTACAATCTAATCAATGCCCAAGAGTGCATATATTTTACAAATATATTTAATTAATAGGCTCAATTATTATCAGGTTCACTCTACCTCAATAAATTCAGTAAAAAAATCTCCAGATGTTTTAGCTGTTGCTTTTTCCATATGTTACATTTACAGAGATAACTTTCATGACAAGGGAAAAAGCAATCTACTGCATATACTTGCTATATCATAAGTATGATTGTGTTAACCACTTCCTCCCTAATTTCCTAACGTGAAGTGCCCTATTTTCTCAGCTGATAAGCCCTGTTACTTACAGAAAATACAGATTCTTTTCAGCTGAATAAAATATATGTGCATGTTTCCAAAGAAAACATTTCTTTAATATTCTGTCATTGATTATAACAAAAATAAAACCCCCCCAAAAGAAAAAAATTTCTCCCTATGTTTCAAGCATTTACTTGTTCCCTAACTTTTAGTAAATTTTTCTAAATTAAAAGATAATTGGTTTTCAAGTTGTCTAAAATGTAAGAGAATTCATGAGAATAGCTCAATGCTGAATGATTATTATTCAGACTAAATACATAAAATGTAAAAATTATTTAGAACTTTCCAATCCTTCTAATGATTTAAAAAGGTTTTTTTGTATTAGAAAGCTGAGAAATGAAACTACAACATGTGTGGTTGACATCATATTAAAGCCTTTTAAAAATGATTCATATAATGAAAATTTTTAATTAACATTACTCTGATTCTAAACACTTTAAACATGAAAAAAGAGTCACCAAGAGATAAATTAAATGCTTAACTACATGGGTTAACCATCATTTCAAGCTAATGAAAATTTTCTTGAAATCTGTAAGACTGCCAACTCATTCTTTACAGACTTCCAATTTTTATTCTGCTTGATTGTTGTTTTTGCTTGTCTTACAGCAGCTGCTGTCTTTTGAGATGGCCAGAAATCTTTATAATGGGAAATAAGATTGGCTTTCGACTTCGACTTCCAAGGTATGCTCTTCCAAGAATGTGAGTTGTTTGCTTAGCAAAGCCCACCCCACTGCTGAGTGCATTAGCCTTTCTCATAAGTGCTTCATCTTGAGAGATGCTACTCTCCCGTGCACCCTTTTAAGATCAAAGAATCCCTAAGCCCAGGGCTAGAAACCACTCTCAGAGGTTATCTGAACTCGCCCTAACAGACTATCTGTCAAGTTTCTAAAGTTTTCCAGAAAAAGGAGTAATGCAATCTTCCGTTGCCTTTTTTCCTTCCTCCCATTAAATCTCCTGAACAGCAGGAGAGAAACCCTGCCTGGCTCTGAGCATCTTCCTGATGCACTCGGGGTGCAGATGCAATTGACAAACAACCTTCCCTCCTAGGACAACCCCTCAGTGGACCTACCCCCACCTGCATTTCCCACCTGCAGCCTCCACAGAGGACAAGCCTCAGCCGTGTGCGTTCCCTGGGCTGGGAGCAGCCCGGGGAATCCCCCTCTTTACCTTTGCAGATACCGTATTCGTCCCCAAAAGCATCCTCCTCGTGGTAGAACTGACACCTCAGCCCCGGGCCACACTTGACACCGTCCATGCCAGACACGGTGCGGTAGCAGGTTTCTCCCCGGTCCGCAGCGCACACACGGCAGCAGCCGCAGTCGTCCAGCACGGTCCTCTTGCAGCGCACAGAGCTGCAGTGCGTAGTGTCACAGTGCTCCGGGCAGTCCACTGCATACTTGGTGCTCCAGGCCATGGCCAGGTGTGCAGGGAGCAGGAGCGTGGCCAGCAGCAGGAGGAGGCTCTTCATGTTCCCCGTGGGCTCGGGCACAGCTTCCTGTGGCTGCGCGCTCTCGGCTGGCCTGAAGCAGCAGTCCAAAGCGGTAGCTGCTCCTCTCTGCCTACACGTTTAGGAGTTTTATACACTGGGTTGCCCGCATGCCTCCCCGTCATCAATTTCCTCAACCCAGCAGCAGCGCTGTCCTCCTGCCAGGCTCTCTTGTTTTAGTTTATGAAATCCAGGATGAAGGCTGGATTAACACACTGCTGCCATCCAGGAATTGAAAAGCCCACGCTGATGTCATCTGTTATGTTTAGATGGTTGTTTTGCATGAGGACGAAAAAACTCACTCACATCCGTCTCAAGGGCTCAAGGACGTCTGTGAAAGGGAAGAAAGAAGGGTACATACCCTCCTTCAAGACAGGAATTGTTCTGACTCCTGCATATCACTTGCAGGGGGGAGAGAGGTTGTAAGGGAGCAGCTTTGTCTCAGAGGTTCTCAGGTTAGGAAGAAAATTCTGTGGACATGAGTCACCAGGAACGAAGAAGTGCCTTTAAGAAAACAAACAAATAAATATTTGGCATTTACCCTCAATAAACAGCTATGAGATCATTTGGAACAAGAAAAGGTTGTATTGTGCCTTTTCAATACTTTGGAGGAAAAATTAATTCTAGGGGCTTTTTTAAGGACTTTCTCTTCCTTCCTCGCAGTCCTCGCTTCAAATGTTATTTCTACAGCAATTTCTCTCTTCTAGCCAGGTTTGTCTGGGAAGAAGCTGCATTTCTCATAAGCAGCTGAGAATTTCCTTGAAAATCGATACAAAAAGCACCAAAGAGGTAAGACAGTGCTGGCATTGTTTCTAGGTTACTCAATTCTGGAAAAAACTTATCAGTTGGACTTTGCCTGACCCAAAACTCCCTGGGGAGAGGGCTCATCCATCATGGAGTGCGCGGGTCCAATGATTGAATCCATCCACAGGCCTTCCCCTCACCTCCTGGCATCTACCAGAGCCCTCACTCAAAACCACCAAACAAGGCAGGCAGCCCAGAGAAACAAATAAGCCAGCAAGGAAGCAAAGCATGGCCTGGGGAGGCAAGATACATGGATGGGAAAACATAGCCTATCAGGAAACAGGGCCTTTGTGCTATGGACAGAACAGGGCCTCAAGTCACTGGGAAGACAGCAGCAGCCTTCTTAAAAATATCAGCGGGACCAGGGCCTTGGTAAGCAAGGTCTGTGGAGCAGAAAGCACAAGGTGCAAGACGAGAAAGGAGAATTCTTACTCCCATGTTGGAGTTCAAGTCTACCCACCCCAGCACTTGTCAAAATAGATGTCAAACCATTACCATGTGGTAAATACACAGCAATGTAACCGCTGAGAACTTCTAGAGGGTTGCAAAGAAGTCAGAAACAAATCACAGGATTGCCCTCAGGCCCAGCCTTCTTTGTCAAGATTTGGCCCTATTAGTCCAGCGGACGTCTAAAAATCTCACCCCCTCTGAAAGACAAGGCAGTTGTGTTGGGTGTGACAGGATGATTCGCCTCCAATACACAAGTTTAGGAGACAGAAGAAACAGAATTCTCACTGCAGAAAATTGAGGAAGTGGGAAATGAAGGCAAATGTTTTCACTTCCATAAAATTTTTATGACAATTCAATATTCTACTTTTTTTTGCCTTTTGGGCCACACCCAGCGATGTTCAGGGGTCACTCCTGGCTCTGCACTCAGGAACCACTCCTGGCGATGCTGGGGATATGGGACACTGGGGATCAAACCCAGGTTGGCCACGTGCAAGGCAAATGTCCTACCTGCTGTGCTATCGCTCCGGCCCCTCAATATTCTATTTTCATCTCCCTCAGAAGAGACACAGAGTTGACAAATGACATGCTTGAATTTGTTGTTTAAAGTGTGGGAAATACTGAATATATAATATGTGCCCGGCTCTGTTCTGAAGCATTTTGCATGTCTTAACTCTCTTGCTCCTCACCACAAGCTTATGAAGTCAGCATTAGTCTCATGTCTATTTTATGAGTGAGAAAACTGAGTCGAAAAATGTTTCGATCATTCATCTAAGTTCCCATAATATCAGATACTAAACTTTAATTTTGCCAATCCAATGGCAAACCTCTATACAAATGTCTGTTATAACACGCTTGTGCTTCCATAGCTACGGCTATCATGGCCTCGTCCACAATTTAGTTTCACCCTAGAAAAGGTTTCTTCTTCAAACATTGGTAAACACTGCTTTCTTGCTTGCTTTCTTGATTTTTTTTCCCTCAGGGAAGGGCCCTTAAGCAGGGTTTAAAGAGTCCAGGATCCACGTCTAATAACATTAGGCCATGCTTCGCATGCCAAATTCAGTATCTTAGCTCTTAAAATACAGAGTTGCTAAGAACTGAATGGTACCACAGCTCAAACTTGCAGTCTCTTCTTGTAAAGCATACGCTTCAGCCCTTTGAGCTAAGTGGTTCAAAGTGGCCCTGGTCCCGAAAACCAGTTTCTAAGAAAAGAGTGGTTAATTACAATAATGGTGAATTAAACAAATAATAGTGAGGTGCATAATATTATCTAACCTTTATAGAAATCTTACTATGTTCCAGACACTACTCAAAGTATTTTGTACATATGATCACATTTAATTGTCAAAATAGCTTCAAGAGCTAGGTACTATTCTTTTTTAAATTATTTTTATTAGTGAAACAGCATGAGGTACAGTTGTAAACTTATCAATTTTTGTGCTTGGATTTCAATTATACAATGATCAAAGCGATAGCACAGTGGTAGGGCGTTTGCCTTGCACGCAGCCAACATGGCCGACCAGAGTTCGATTCCTCCGCCCTCTCGGAGAGCCCAGCAAGCTACCAAGAGTATCTCGCCCGCACGGCAGAGCCTGGCAAGCTCCCCGTGACGCATTCAATATGCCAGACACAGTAACAACAAAGTCTCCAATGGAGACGTTACTGGGCCCGCTCAAGCAAATCAATGATCAACGGGAGGGCCTTTACTTTTACTTTACTTTTAATTATCAAATACCCAACCCTCCACCAGTGCCCATTTCCACCACTATGGGTCCCAGTATCCCTCCCACCCCCATTCCCCCTTTTCCACCCTTCCTCTGTGGCAGGGCATTCCCCCTTGTTCTCTCTCTCCTTTTGGGTCCTGTGGTTTGCAAAAGAGGCATTGAGTGGCAATCATGTTTGGTCTATAGTCTACTTTCAGCATGATTCTCCCATCCTGGGAGGATCCTCCCAACACCCTTTATTTGGTGTTCCCTTCTCTATCTGAGCTCCCTTTTCCAAGCTAGGTACTATTCTTAATACCATTTTAGAGATGAGAAGACTAAGGACTTGAGGGTTTAAATAACTTGCTCAAGGTTATATAATTAGTAACTGGTTAAACCAGGATTCCAACAGACCACCTCTGGCAACTAGAATAAGGACAGCAAAACGAAACACAGGCAGGTGCAAATCAGGTGACCCAAGTGAGTGAAGTGACAGTTCCACCATGTATTATGCAATGGGAATAGGTGGATTTTGTCCACCAGATAGCACATGGCTCCTTAAAGAAATACCTAGGACCTCTGGTTGCTGCCAGTCAGGAGTATAAGTGCTCAGTGCAAATCTTGTAAGCTTTAAAAAAGAAGATAAAATCCAGAAGTTTTTATGTACTGTCCTCATTGTTTTGGGCTATCAGTATGCTATTCATTTTTTAATTACATGTGCCCTTATTATCATGGCCTAGATCAAATCTGCACTCCAATTTGGCCTCACTATAAATTTTGCATCCTGGTAGTACAGATTTCAATTTCCACTCTGCCACTTACTTCCTAAGGCAGATTTCTTTAACATCTTTCATCTGAAGACTGAGTCAGTGCCTGGCCTGCATACCTGTCCATGAACCAGTGGTTAGAATCAAGGTGGGAGCCCAGTGATTTTCACCTTTCTACACCTGTGAACTGATGGTAGTGCGTGGGCCAGTAGTTGAAGACTACTGACCTAAGAGATGTGGGAACTTAGTTTCATGTCTCTAAGCCTCCATTTCTTCATGATATATAATGGGGCTTATGATACCTTCATAGAGCTAATGCTAGGATCATTATCGCTATTACTATCACTATCACACTGTTGTTCATTGATTTGCTCGAGTGGGTGCCAATATCATCTCCATTCATCCCTGTCACATGCTAGAGTAGCCCGACGGCATATGGGGGGCTCTTTCAGGGTCAGGGGAATGAGGACCATCACTGTTACTGTTTTTGGCATATCAAGTACACCATGGGTAGTTTGCCAGGCTCTGGCGATGTTAGGATAAAGGATGGCAAATGTTAATCTATGCGTTCCAAAAATAACACAATTCCTTTGAAATATGCAGTCACCATAGAGTTGACAGCAAATAAAGAAAAATAAGAAAAGAGTAAGAATTCTGATATTTTATAGAAATGTTGAAAAGACACTGGGCCAGAGCGATAGCATAGCAGGTAGGGCGTTTGCCTTGCACACAGCCAACCTGGGTTCCATTCTTCCACCCCTCTCAGAGACCCTGGCACGCTACTGAGAATATTCTGCCCGCACGGCAAATCCTGGCAAGCTATCCGTGACATATTCGATATGCCAAAAAAAAAAGTAACAAGAAGTCTCACAATGGAGGTGTTACTCATGCCTGCTCGAGAAAATTGATGTACAACGGGAGGACACTGGTACAGTTCTACAGTGCTACAGTTGAAAAGACACTAAAGACCTTCCTTTGACTGTCAGATTCACAAGTAGTAAAAGGAAGGGGGAAAAACAGGAACAATTAGACGCCTATGCTCTACAGTTCCAAAATCTGATGTCTTGAGAAATTGGCACCTGATAGAAAGTGGTAGTTGGAGGCTACATCCACAATAACTATAAACCAAAGACAATATGACAGAGAGGTGAAGAAAGTATGCCCAATAGAATTGACAAGTGGTAGACCTATCTTCATTCATGGTACCTAACCACTGTTTTCGGAATGCCTTCAGTTCTTTCCAAAGCCAAACAAAAACTATT